GAGAGAGAGAGAGATGTACACGCAGCATCGATTTGGCTGGTGTCCCTGGCTCGCGATCGGCATGCCATCCAACGCAGTTATGGGATTCATCCGCGGCCGGATTTGGCAGACCGCGACCGGATTTCGCGTTGGACACCCGCCACGCGGACCGATGGGGATGACGGCACTAAACGCGACGTATTTCGTCAAAGGAAAACCGAGGCTCACCGATATTAGACGAGAAACAATTGGGGAGGACCATCGCCGCGCGTGGTCAAGTCAGCCGCACGTCGACGATGATTATCGCACCGCACGCCCTTCGCCCTCTTTGCAGATGACAAGCACCCTTGCAGATGCGAGAGACACGCGTACCGCTTGACCGCAGAATTATTTCACGTGAGCTCGTTTAGCCGCACTGTGACAGGTCCGCAGGATAAAAATGCTTCGCGAACTCGCCATCACGAGATCTCCGAACCTTTCGTTCGGGGGTTGATTCTCCTGTACACGCACGCGTGATAATTAAATACAACGATAATTAGCTCGATGTAAAACAGTAGATGACACACAGATATCTCACAGCCTTAGGCTCGCTTGACAGTTTTAAGCACCGCACTTCTCATCGAGCTGTCACGAGAGGCGAGCGAAAACAATTCTTGTCGTGAGATGTATGCCGTGAGATACGCGGAATCGATTGAGGTTTAAATATTGCTCCAAATTAAAAGTTCGCACGCGAGAGCAGGTACGTAATTCACCTGAGTCACGATCCTGCAATTTGTTATCGCGTCATAATTAGGGAACGACAGGAAAAGGAACTTTTACGCAATTTTGCTCGACGACGGCGCTGCCGCCTTAGCTTTTCCAAGGGGGTGGTTCTGCTTTCCAGAATAGTTTCTTTTCCGGCGCGTTTCTTACAAGTCGCCATTGTACTTTGCCAATCTTTTTCCATGACTCCGCAGTTTTCTCGTCCTAAATTCCCGAGGTGTCATCCCGAAATACGTGACCCCCGTGCTAATTCCTATGGCTCGAAGAAAATAGGGATGAAGCGCCTATAGAGCAGTCATCCTTCGATTTTGACAGTGCCACGTGATTCGGATCTCAATGTTCGAGTTCGACGACGTTAACTGATTCCAAAATTGACTCACACCCTCGATTATTTCGCGTTCTGTTTCTCGAGAACAGAATCGCATCGAGATACACGGGATCGTTTAAGTAACAGTTGACGGACAAGAGCGCGGTAAAAGATAATGTCGGGCACATTCCAGTAGAGTATGTAAGCCAACAGAAATGCTGACTGACTAAAAGGGAGCTGTATTGTTTTTGCCCTTAGATGGGCCGGCCATTGTCCGGGTAAACCTGTTTGTGCGAAGCATTGCGACAATTAGTGACATCAAGATGGTAAGTATATATAAACGCTAATAACACCATCAAACAAAGCCTTTTGAAACCGCAACTGGCCGCAACTCGCCGTTTCTTCTCTTGCCGACGCGATTAACCCCCTTTCTTTATTTGTCTCTGTCACTTTGCAAAAACGCAGTAGGCGCAAAAGTAGTAGGTTTAGGCGGTCTTGATCTCGAAGTCAAAGAGTGTGCCTGTATGCGCGTGCGTGTGCGTGCTTGTTGTACGTGCGAGAGAGAAGGGCCGAGGCCTCGGGAAGAAAGAGAGAGAGAGTCCAGCAGCAACCGGACGGCGGCGACCGGAGAGCTTGATACTTCCTCGGAGAGACCAGGGCACAGGCTGGCAAAAGCGGTAGCAACAACACACGCAACGTAGTAGAGAGCAGCAACGTAGCAGAGTGCCGGTCAGCAGCATCTTGTCCTCCTTCACCCACGCTCTTTGCCTTACAACCCCACCCTCCCCTACAGTCCCTCCCCACGCCTCGCCTCGTTGCTAGCTAGCCATCGCTAGCAACCTCTTCTCGAGGGAACGCCACATCCACACGGACCGACCACCGCTACCACCGTTACCACTACCTTTGACCAAAGCGCCCGAGTAACCTTACCACCCCCTCCCCCAGAAACTCTAGCACTCTCATAGTATAGACGCAGGCATGTGGCATTCCAGCTTATATACATTTTGCGTATGTTAGTTACGGACGGACGGACCATCCGACGGACGAGGATGCGGCCGAGAATGAAAGAGAGCGACACTCCGAATCGCCGGTGTGCGCGAGGGTGTGCGAACGGGAGGGGGGAAGGATCCGAGGGTACGATTACGCTCTCGGATCTCGCGGACCTCCGACGTACCGACCACAGGTCGTTAGTTTTTTTGCGGTCGCGCGCCAACAGCCGTTCGGCCGCCGTTGATCTTTAACCACCGCGTGTCTTTAATCTTAAGTAACGCCACCGGAGGGGAATCCCCGTCCCAGAAGCAATCTTACTTCTCTCCCGGTCTCCCTCGTTATTGCGGGACGGGGCGAGCCACGTCGAGTTCCGAGTACGATACGCGGAACCAGAATATGATCGTCCTCCAAGAAAATCTCTCTCCGAGATAAGAGAAAAAGCGAAAAGGAAGGAAAAAATACGCGGAGGCTGAATGGGATGTCTGAATGGACATCCGTCAGGCTTTTATGTTGCCCGGACAATTCCTCGCAATGCTCGCAGTGGGACGCTCGACGCGATTTCGCGGAAGGACGATCGGCCGGCCCGTTGCACCCTGTCCAGAGAGAGAGAGAGAGAGAGAGAGAGAGAGAGAGAGAGAGAGAGAGAGAGAGAGAGAGAGAGAGAGAGAGAGAG